CTGTTAATAGTAGGCTTTGCACATTAACTGGATATCAAATGCTAGGCTATTCATCGATACTTTGTTATTGAGTTTCTTCAGTCCGTGACACCCGGAACGCCTTCTTGTATTTTACTTAATTCTAATTATCAAATTAAACGCGATAAAATCCCCAAAATAGTTTCACTTAACAATGAAAATAAAATAATATTCGTGTAACAAGAAATCAACAATTACGTTTTAGTTGACCTCTAACGTTTGTTAATAGTTTGCTAAACAGATCGCAGTAAAGGGATTTATTTGAGTAAATCCCTAAACCGGTTGTTTGGGCTTAACGCGTTGATATAAAATAAATCTTAAAAGCTAGGTACAATAAGACGGTCTTATCGCTAAAGAGCGATCTCTTCCAGACAACCTTAGGACAAGGAAAATAAACTTATGAATTGTGGGAGGTGGTGTGCTTACTTAATAATAACAAAATAAACTATAATAAACATACATTTTTTTTATGTGAAAAGTTGCCAAACGAGCAGACGGTTCACCTGATGGTAAGTAAATACCGCCGCCCATGGACATCTGCTACACCCGAGGGTTCCAGATGCGTTGACAACCTTTTGAAAATTGGGCTCCGGCTACCTCACTTACCAGACGAAACGCGAAATTATTTGTCATACTTCCACTTTACGCTGGTCTTCTGTGAGGTCGTGGTACTTACCCGGACGGGCCTGCCCATTCGTGCAACAGCCGAGGCTGCTGCGTGGCCCTTCCACTTAATATACACACAAAGATAAATAAATATAGAATATATATAATTATCATAAATATATATATATATATATATGAAAGTATAATAGATTAATATTGTCAATGTTACCTATGGATTACAAAGGGAAAGATAATGATTCTTTACATTCCTTCATTCAGTCATTTTTAAATTGTATTTGTTGGTTATAATCGATAATATTAAATGTTTAGATTAGTTTGTCCATATTAAAAAAAATAATTTCGATAGAATCCGATGAATACTTTTATTCATTTCTTGTATTCCGTAAATTAAAGAAATTATAATGATTAATTTGCTTTATGACGTGGTCGGAAACATAATTTATTAATTGCTATGTTTTTAGTTGAAGTTACGTTGCAAATGATTTTTTTATTACTTTCGGCCAGCCCGCTGTTGACGGAACTCGTTAAAAACTAAACGACTCACTAATGTCAAAGTTTATTTACTTTACAATGTTTTTTGTTATACATTTTGCTTTCAACTATCCTAAATTTAAGAAGTTTTTTATTATTCATATTGTATGACATGTTAATTGTGTTTAGTTACAACTCAATTTAAAGTACGTTTGGGACACAAATATAAATGTTTGATTTGAATCAGTCTTCGAATTAGTTATTTCTTACAAAATCTTGTTATAAACAATATTCATCAACTAAGTATTCCTAAACGAAACGATTATCTACAGCCGTAGCTATTGAATAGTTCAACGATTTGTATTTATTATTATTTATTTTGAATTGAGTTTGATTTGGCGCGGTACAAGAAATATGATAGGCATAAGGTCATGTAACACTAACATGATGTAAATCTTAAACAAGATAATAGATCTACTGTAGTAGGGTCACGCAGCAGTCTTCACTGTTGCACGAATGGGCAGGTCCGTCCACGGAAGTACCCAGATCTCACAGAAGACCGGCGTGATGTATAAGCGTTATACTCCTGTGTTTTGTCTGGGGATTGAGATAGTAGTAACAGCCTATACATGTTGCACTGCTGGGCAAAGGCCTCCTCTATACAGAGGTTATCAGGGCATAGTCCACCACGCAGCCCCACTGCGGACTGGCGGACTTCACATATCTTCGAAATATATATTTTTCTTGTTATTATTTCGAAAATATGCAGGTTCCCTCACGATTTTCCTTCACCGCCGAGCACGTTATAAGTCAGCACTTAAAATTAAAATTTTCCATTGGTGCTGGTACCAGGGATCGAGCTCAGGTTGCTCTAGTAAATTGAATTAAAGGCGAGCGCCCGGATACTGAGCTATCACGGCTGTAAGATAACCGGGGCTCATTTTATTCAAAGGTGGAAAATGTACATGGGCGGCGGTTATCACATAACATCAGGTCCACCGCCAGCACGCGTGCTGCATCTTCTTACGTAAAAAATCATAAAAAAATAAAAATGTTTTTCAAACAACATAAATAATTGAAATTGTTAATACCTTTTACGTTTGTTTATTATTTATCCTTCAATTTGTATCACATTCCTAAAATATTTTATGATAAACCTGAATTGTGAAGATGTGCTACCAACTGGAGGCAACAATGTAATATTTGGAAGAAATTGCTATTTAGCAATAACTTCCGAATATTTTAATGCCTTTTGATAAATATTTTATTTTTTCTACTTTATTTTTATTTCTTGATGTATAATAAAGAATATTATTATTAACATTAAGACCTCTTAAAATGGAGTATGGAATTTGCACGTAATTTTTGTTTATGAAAAATTCGGGAGCTTGTTCTGTACCTGTTACCTACTAGCTGGCGGTTCACCTAACGTTAAGTGATCATCATGATTTCACAAGATCCGTGGCGTTGCAGTTACCTGCGAGAGTTACCCCGAGTACCAAGCTTACTTAAGTATAAATAAAAAAGATCAAGACAGATATAACTGTAAAAGTTATTTAGTTAGTTAAAATGTATAAGAATTATAGTTTGAGGCAGTCGAACACTATAAACGTATTTCTGAGTTAAATTAAAATTTTAGCCAAAGCTGTTTCACGTGTTACACTCATAAGTATATGAATACAATTAAAATTATTATAATAGTTACTTTAACTATTAACTTTATTTAACACCAAAAATTTTCACTAAAATGTGTATTGTGAAATAAAAAAAAATATCATATCAAATCAGTTTCTATTTGTTAACTTCAACCGTAGGTAACCTTCCGATTAATAACACTAGTTATGGATTTATTAAACTCTTAACGTTTATAATCTTAGCCACATTTTAACGTGATATATTACTGTACAGATTGCAACAGTGTGAACAATCAGGAATACATCCAACATTCCATCTTAATAATGCCATGTTAACAAAAACTTATTAAAATCAAAGCCTGCTAATAAACTAACTACTGCTTGGAAAAAGATTTTATTTTTACTGTTATAACGATTTATTTACTGATCTTTTTTTTTACCAAACTTATGTTCCCAGCACTTAGCGTGTAAACTACCACCAATCTCCTTGTGGGATTAAGTGTTGTCATAGCCACGAAGAAGACAACTATTTTAAGTCTTTCATCTCAACGGGACGCACCGTCAAAAGTTATGTATTCATGAATTTCAATTAAATTCTCACTTAATCCAAGAAATGGAATACTTATTCAATATTATTAAATATTATGGAAGTTTTTAGTATGAAGCGATCTTTCGACTGGCAAATTTGTAAAATAGATGGCAATCGTAACTGGCAACCACAGGACAGGCTTTGCCTAGTGTGGTGCCAACGTACAATGTACTTAAACTTCTAAACGGTAATTCTGTTTGTCAAGAAAATATTTTCATTTTCATTTTTTCATATTCAATTTGAAGTAAACGGTGAATTCAACACTGGAACATCACCCTTTACTCTGATGTTAATTGAAATGGTTTAAGTTAATCATAACAAGCATGTTTTATCCACCGCCGTTAATATTACTGTACATAATGTCAGCGCTTTGCTTGATAAATTTCCCCCGACCAACTGTTACGAAATTAAAAATGTTGTAACAATGTTTTGGTTTATTTATAAATATTTATTTAAGTACTATATTTAGTTTCGTAAAATTATTAAAGAGAAACAATGTCAAAACGTTACAGTATTATAGAAATTGTAAAAAAGTTTTCTGATTTAAACGATTGCCTAGAAACTCATTGATAAATATGCTTAATATATCTAATGATTGTAATTAATTATTGCATGCAATGGTCCAATAAGTGCGTTATTTACATTAGTTTAATGCTGTCTTAATTATTTAAACTTAGAGTAAAGTAATTTTCATCAGTTGATTAAAGAATCTGATTATCCACTCAGTGAGAAGTCCTTTGGAGAAACTGACGCAGAATAAGTGGGATTTAAATAATACTTTTGCAAACCCCTTCTAAAATTCTGAATTTACTAATGCGGATTATCTTCTAAAATTTTGTTGGATTAAAAATGGTAAAGGAGTTTAGGATAGATTAATTTTAATCAGTAACTCATAGGCTACGATAACTAGGTGTTTTGTATATTTAACTGAAACCGGATAGAAACAATAAAATTATGGATTTCACTTAGTGTAATGTAGTAATAAAACAATTTGGTACCGTTCAAATAGTTTTGTAACGTATTTATAGGTTACTTTTAGCGGAAGCGTTCGTTGCTTAGGCCTAAATACATCATTATTGACGTCTCATAGCCGCTTGTCAATTTTTCATACAACAACCAAAACCAGAATTTTCGAGTTAATGTTTTAATTTCACTGTATAGAAGCATGTTTGATAAGCAATTTACTTGTGTGTTACTGTTTGTGTGCAGTCATGTCACGATATCTTTTGATAAAAACTGTTTTATACGAAAAGTAAACGTTTGAAAACTGTTGTTAATGCCAATATTTTTTTTTCGGCAAACAGTTTTCAAATTAGGGTTCAATGAAAAAAAATATTTTGAATTCATTTAACATTTCTTTTATTTATTTATACATCTCTTCAATGCTTAACCTAGATAATTATGTCAATAAATATACGCTTTGGAGATATTTACATTTAGAATATACAGAAACGAACATAGCGCGGAATGGTGAGTATAACAGCGACACTACTAACATTGCAAACATCGGGTGCCATACGCTCTACTGTAGAGATTTCCTCCGACGGGTGTCCACTGGATTCGTGTTCGTACACTAAAACTAAATCACAGATAGGATCGTCTCAAGCACCGCCGCGAGTGACCGTGACAGGGTCATCGAGGTCACCGGAGACCTGCAGTCACTGCCGCGTCAGAACCGTGATGGGTTTGTAGATGTGCGGCGTCAGGGGGTGGTGCGAGGGCGACAGCTCAGGGCTGGAGGCGCCGGACGTCGGGGGCGAGTGCGCCACCATCGGGGGCGAGGGCGCCAGCAGCGGGGAGGTCTGCGCCAGCGAGTTCTGGAGCAGGGGCGACTGGCCGAGGAACGGCGCCGTCGGCAGCCGCTCCGAAGCGTACGAGAAGGCGGGCGAGTAGGGCAGGCCGTAGCCCATCGCCTCGGCGCCCCTGAACGCCGGGTGCACCGCGCTCGGGGCCACGGGCGGCGCCTTCATCTGCATCGGCGCGTACCTCTGGTACAGCAATTGCGAGTAGAGGCCGACCAGCTGCGAGTAGGTCGCCGGCGGGTAGCCGCCCGGCAGAGGCGCGCCGGGGAACAGCGGCCTCTTGAAGCAGGCGAGGCGCGAGCGGCCGTTGAGCGCCGACCGCCGCCGCAGCTTACCGGTGGTGCCTCCGATGAACACGTCCTCGGCGGACGCGTCCAGCATCCAGTAGTTGCCCTTGCCGGGGTCGTCGTAATGGCGCGGCACTTTCACGAAACACTTGTTCAGACTTAGGTTGTGGCGGATGGAGTTCTGCCAGCCCTGCCTGTTCTCCCGGTAGTACGGGAAGTTGGTCATGATGTACTCGTAGATGCCGTTGAGCGTGAGCCTCTTCTCGGGGCTGTTGCGGATGGCCATCATGATGAGGGCGTTGTAGCTGTACGCGGGCTTCTCGTGCTTCTTGTCCTTCTTCTCCGCGTCGTCGTCCTTGGGCTTGGTGCAGTCGACCGGCTCGGTGCCGGTGACGTCGAGCTCGGAGTCGCTCAAGTCGGCCTCGGAGTGCGACGCCCCGTTGGACGAGGTGGCGGGCGACGGCGGCGGCTTGGCGGCCGCGTGGTTCATCAGTATCGCGTTTATGCTGAAGTCTCCCTCGAACTTCACCATGTTGATGCACTTGTGGAACACTTGCGAACGGAAAGGGGCGCGCTGCGCGTGTGCGCTGACACTGCGAGCGGCGAGCGGACTGGCGGGCGCGGAGGCGGGCGCTCGTATTTATAGCGCGCGCCGGGGGCTCCGCCTCGGCAGCTTTCGCGCTCAGGGGGCTCCAATGGCGGCGCGAGCTTTCTATACATAGGGCACGCCTTCGTCCGTCAGCTCCCTTCGCTCTGCGGCTCATGCCTCGCGGACGTTTTATTGCGCACGGAATGTCGTAGGCTCCAATTCGTCGCGTTGCTCCATTTGCTCCACACTGCACCCGCTCGCACAACGCTTTCGCAGTCGATGAAAAGATCGCAAAACATAAAACGTTCTTAGGTTTTCACACTTCATTGCGGGCTACGTGACTTTAATCGACATTGATAATACGGGCTTGTCGAGTCACCTGCGATCGACGAAAATTTTTCGCACTGTGTTCTACTAATCTGGCCGGATTAAATACGACACGCACGCGGCGATATCGTCCTGCCACTTAGAATTAGTAAAGAAACGTTGTTCGAGATTGCTTCTAGAGGTCTAAAGCGCTAAAGGTATGTTTGTGACGATTGCGTGGCTCGTGGGCGACGCCGCGACGTAGTTGTGACTGCAGCCTAATATTTCAGTGCGAATAGATAATAGTAATGTTATTATCGCTTATCGTGGGATTATCGCTGGAAATATCGTCGTGTAACAGGACGTCAAGTGAACACGATAAATCCGTTTGTGCCAGCGTTAGTTAGTTATGCGCTATTGAGTTATCTTCCTCATCAATATTGTCCGGCAGTGCCCTTGCGAACCGTAAATTAAAATTTCGGTATTATATTACCATGTGTCGGTCGATGAATCGATAGGTCGATAGGTCGCAAGTGCAGGAAGATGAGTATTGTTCCACACGAATGGATGTAAATTTCCACCGGTTCTCGTAATCGATTGCAATTAGCAGACAGATGTATTTGGCAATCATGGTCCTGACTAATTGTTCAACACAATAAACAGCATCATATAAATAAGACAATGAAATTTCTGGTTTCTGTCGATTAACTGTCACTTTTTGGAACATTTTCCGCAAGACTTTACAGTCACATTGTATTTCATTATATGATGGGAGATAAAACTAAATAAATAGGATTGGATACGATTAAATGAGATAAGATAGTGAAATTATTGTCTGTCATATAGTCGCTTATCAAATCCAAAGAAAAATCCTAAATGCAAAAACGGCAAGAGGAAATGTCTATACTGAAATATAATATTACATAAAATATAGTATATGCCTATATATTAAATGTACATAACTAAACCGAAGAAATATAATATTATTTTAAATATAGTATACATATTGAAAGCATGTAAAAGCATTTTGCAAAGCTGAAGAAACTTGGATTGTAAGTCTATATATCTATTCAAAAGTATAGATTCTCTCAAGTACAAAGTCTAAGAGGAAAAAAATAACACATTAAATACGATTTTGTCCACATACTAATAAACGAAACATATAATTGCTCAGGCAAAGAAACTCGTAGTGTAAGTATTGATTGTTCCACTCATGCAAGATGCAACGTCTTCTGTGAGAGCGTAGACTTGCCTGATGTATAACAAATAAAAACGTTTTATATATTAAAAATAACTTAAAGATGATTAGTTTGAACATTTTAACTTTTTGATTTTTTATCGTGTGATGTCATATAATTTCCAGATTGGATTGGAGTATAAAACTGTTGTATAAATAAGACGAACTTATGTTAAGTGACGATCGTTACTCCGCATAAGCTGTAGTAAGTTAAATTTATTTTAATAATTAATAATAATAATAATAATAAAATATCTTTATTCACATAGACGCTTGCGCGTTCTTATGAAACGTCAAAATTTTACAAGAAATTAACACGTTCGTAAGCTACCACCGGTTCGGAAAGCAGTTTCTGTTGAGAAGAAACCGGCAGGAAACTCAACAGTTGCTCTTTTTAAAAAAAATCAGTTTACAATATAATAGTACATGTACAATAGTCTTGTTTTAGCCTACGTGAGTGTCAACAGTATTAACCCCACACATTGGCGTCGTCAAGATATTCGGCAATAGAATAATAGGCTTTAGCCATAAGTTTACTTTTAATTTTTCGTTTTAATTCATCAAGTGGCAGACTTAATATCGACTGTGGGATTTTATTATACATGCGCACACCTTGCCCCATGAACGACCTGTTTACTTTTTGTAAATGAAACAATGGCGTAGTTAGTTTGTCCTTATTTCTAGTATTTAGTTTATGTCTGTCACTATTCTTTAGATAACTATTAATATTATTTTTAACATACAAAATATTACAATAAATATATTGAGACGCAACAGTGAGTATATTAATCTCTTTAAAAAGGTCTCTGAGTGTATTCCGGGCTCCGATGTTATAGATTGCTCGGACAGCTCTTTTTTGAAGAATAAATATAGAATTTATATCAGATGCATGTAATAATTATGAGAATAATTCATGGTAATTAACATGAATTATTTTATTAAATGATATTTCTTATAATGCTATAACACTAATGAATGATCGTAGAAAAATAAAAGTCGTAGTCGAGCCTATTTTTTTTTTTTCTTTTACACATTTGTACACAACATTTTCTAGTCCCAAACTAAGCAAAGTTTGTACTATGGGTACTAGAAAACTGATAAACATACTTTTCTTTTTGTAAATAAATACATATTATACATATAGAAATACCCAGACACTAGAAAAACACCATGTTGATCACACAATATTTTTCCAGTAGTGGGGATCGAACCCACACCCTCTGGCGCAGGAGGCAGGTACACTACCCACTACGCCATTCGGGTCGTCGATCTGCCAATCTGAAATGTACTTGATAATATAAAACTCGTCAAAACTAGTTCATTAGTTTTTGAGGCTATCAGGCTAGTCAGGACGAATAGATAAATAGGTAACAATATGAAATACACGTGTTTGTATCTTTAGTATGTACCTATAAAAGTGTAGAAACTACCACGAAAACTAAAAATGAAAAAAAAAAACCGATCAAGAGCGAGTCGAAGGGTTCCTTACCATTATATATAAAAACGGCAAATATCATCTGTAGTATGGGAGCCCAACTTAATTTTTATTCTGGTTTTTAGTAGTTGTTGTTATAGCGGCAACAGAACTACATCATCTGGGAAAATTTCAACTGTCTAACTATCACGGTTCATATGATATAGCCTAGTGACAGACGGACAGACAGACGGCGGAGTCTTAATAATAGGGTCCCGTTTTACCCTTTGTGTAGGGAACCCTAAAATATATATTTAATATGTTTTCGGAAAACTTCCTTCAATACAATATACTATCCGAGTAAGTAAAACGGCTAACTGGTTTTTAATTGGTTAATAAAAGGTAACAAACCCTTACCCTGTTCGACGAAGGGTGACATCTAAGGGTGGTGGTGGTCTGTGCCCTAACGCAGTGCACTCTTAGGAGTATTTTGCCCAGCAGTGGGACTTATATGTGTTGCTTTTAGTATACTATCGTCTTATTTTTTAATGAATTAGTAAAGCTCAACATAAGTGCTAATGAATTAGACAAAGTTTCAACTCCAATTTGTTTCGAGTTTTAAAGCCTAACTATAGGAATCGAGTTTCGGTGATTGAAAAGATTAATTTTAACATGCAATTTTATTTATCTGTACAAATTTTTAAAATTAAACTAAGCTTTAGGCTTAATGCGTTATAACTTACTCAAGTTTCTCAAGATTTCCTAAGCCTCAAATTTAATCGTACGTTAACACCAGATTATGAGATTACAAAGAGTTTGTAAAGAGTATTTATGTTTGTTCATAGTAAACAGTTTTTAGGAAGAATTAACAAGCAACTTATTTTGGTTCCAATCACTATGCCTTGTTGTAAACGCATTTTTCACATTTATGCTTATTGATCTTGCGTAATGGTGGAATATCACTACGTAGTATTAAACAAAGTCGTCCCGCTGTCTGTCTGTCCCTTTGTATGCTTAGATCTTTAATACAACATGCAACGGATCTTGATGCGTTTTTTTTATTAGATAGAGTGATTCAAGTGGAAGGTTTATATGTATAATACATTGCACCCTAGTCGCTAGTTATATTTAAATCGTTGGCACACTGAGTTCCTTACTCGTTTGTTAATCTGAAACAGGTTACCAAGTTTTGTGCCACACGTATGAGAAATAAATAAACTCGACGAAATATAGATGACGGTGACTATTATGTTATTATTTATGTTACGCTGGTCTTTTCTTATATCTATTCAGAAGATATTAAGCCAGTTAAATTAGTCGATTCTAATAATACTCAACGTTACTTTAACTATCATTTTATAGATCGACACAAGCTAACTTTGAGTACAATGTGGAAGATATTGATTCCTTGTTTTTATGCCAATATTATACATTGTTAAATGCAACTATTTTACGGATTTTATCGCGTTTAATTAGATTTAAATCGCGTTAGACTGAGTTGTTACACATCTTGATGTCAAACGGTTAACAATATGGAAGATATTAAAACATCTCACGAACGTTTTGTCACTATTTATTGGATGTGATCATAAATAATAGCGGAGCAATGATCGGGGCTCGTGAGTGGACAAAGTATGTGATGACCATCACCCAACAAGGTCGAGCTGATCGTCCGGGGATGGTGAATCACACCATGCGACAGCCGCGCGATACAAATCTGACAGCCATGGTCCAGATATGTGTGACCTGTGCCCGTTTTACGCTGGGGAACTATCGCTTAGTTGGATGCGGCACAATTCTAGTTAATATATAACACTAGCGACCCACCCGGCTTCGCATGGGTGCAATGTATTATACATATAAAACATCCTTTTGAATCACTCTATCTCGTAAAAAACCGCATCAAGATCAGTTGTGTAGTTTTAAAGATCTAAGCATACATAGAGAAAGACAAACAGCGGGACGACTGTTTTATACTATGTAGTGATTTACAAATGATATTAAATGACAGTTGTCAAATGAAATGTGGGTAATGTCAAACAAACATTTATTTTTTTCAATCCCAGACTCGGAAGACAGTGACGACCTGGCTATTCTGGTTTTACACTTAAAATTAAAAGTGGACTGGTGATGAGCTTATCGCGGTAATCGAATAAAAATTCGCGGCTGTTAT